GCGCGGGCCTGGGGGTGGGACAGAGGAGGAGGAGGAGGAGAGAGAGACAGAGAGAGAAGTGGAGGAGAGACCCGAAAATCCTGTCTTATGACTGGCTATTGGCTAGTTTTTTTAATAACGAACATTTAATATTGATATGTGAAACACGTGTAATGAAGTAATGTAAATACGCAACAGGCAACGCCTTGAAACTGATTTGCGCACGCGCTACTACCTGTCAGCTGTGGCTGTGGCGCATGCGCCATGTTACTCACTCCATTTTTTAGAGATAAATAACAATTTTGTAAGTGTAAATTCACCGACAACCCTGAATTATAAAATGACTAGCAGAGTGAGAAACGCAGGTAGAAAATATTTGTCGGGAAGCCAGGAATTAAAAAAAAAGAACTTGAAGAATGTAATCTCAGTTTAAAAGGTACTATGGAAAAATTGAAACTAATAAAGAATTACTTAAGATCTACTATGAGCCAGGAACGTTTTGTAGGACTTTCGATTATATCGATTGAAAACGACCTGTGTAAAGAAATGGACTTTAATGACATAATTGAAGAATGTGCTGCCAGAAGAGCAAGACAGCTATAATAGACTTAGATACAAATGAAAATTTTTAATTATTAATGCAGAATTTTGTTTAAGAATGACTTACAATATAATTAAAATAAAAATTATCCAACTAAATTAAGTTTCTATCAAATTTACTCAATTCACATTTAATATGAAAATAGCCTTCAATTTGTGCATTTGACGCCCTTTTTCTATTTTTTCTCCAAAGGAGGGGGCCCACGAAATTGTGTTGCCCTGGGCCACGCTAAACTCTCATCTGCCCCTGCTCAGAGAATTCACGAGGAGATGAAGGATGCATGTGCCACAGCTCTAAAGCTAGTCTGGGTTCACCTAACAGCCTTTCCTCTCAACCTCAACCTGGGCTGGAGCACTGAGTCACCCTATCCAAAACCTGCAGTAAGGTTCTGAAGTATCAAGAGGTTCAGAGGGCCTTTCACACTAGAGTGAATTTTGCCCTTAATGAATAAGAGTGGGGCCAAATTCATCCATGATATAAATTCACTGATTTCAGTTTACACCTAGAATGACTTTGGCTCACTACAATTATAAAGTGGCCAGCCATTTCTTCAACAGCTCTGCACTTATCATCTGCTTTATTCATGAGCATAATATTACTTGGGAATAGGGAGGAAGCTTTGTATAGTTGTGGAATGGGAGTGCCATAGATTTGTTGCATTAATATCCCTCTGCCACTATGGGGAGCATGACTTAGCAAGTACGGAGTTGTGACGGGGCAGAGGCGCCCTGCAGTCTGATCCCCCTGGAAGTTGCCTTCGCGGCGACCCAGGGGTCGGAGCGAGAAGCCCCGGCACCAGCCGCACTACGAGCGGGGGCGGGAGCCGGAGGCGCCGGGGACAAACGGGGCGGCCCCAGCGTGGGGCGAGCGGCGATGTGCCGGGTGCTCCCAGGCCGCGGAGGCGGCAACGCGCCTGCACCTGCCGAGACCACGCCTGACGTCACGCGGGGGGCGGCACCAGATGGCGGGTGCGCTGCCCCGCCAGAAGTAGACCCACGTACAGGGGGCGGAGCCCCTCCACCCCCCGGCCACAAGTGGCGCGGGGATTTAAAAGGCCGGAAGAGGTGGACCCAAACTGCGGAGGTAAGCCCCCGCATCGGCGAGACAGCGCAACAGGGAGAGGAAGCAGCCCAGGGCAGGCGAAGGGAGCCTGAGGGCTGGCGCGTTACGGCAGACGCCCCGCCAGCCGGACCGGATGCCGTAAGCGTACCGAGTCCTTAGGGCCCTGGGCTGGGGTCCGTGAGAGGGGGCGGGCCCGGACCCCCCTCTCCCTGCTACAGGAAGCCCGGAGATCCCTGGTGTTAAAGGGGCCCCCTGGGCCAAGAAGATAGTTGACTGGGGTCACCAGACGGTGAACCTCTGGGTGGGAGAAGCACAAGACTCAGGCAGAGAGTACGGGGTGCCAGTGGGCGCCCCGATAGAACCTTTACAGGAGTATAAATAGATTCAGAAGGAAAATACTATAAGGCAATTTACCAACTGTTCATGCACGGTCTGCTATTTCAAATGAAGAGATAGAGCAATGAAGAGAGAAGAAAATTATAGAGGGAATTTAGAAAACAATAGTATAGGACAAACACCAAACAAAAGGTGGAAAAACAGAGACTCATGGAGATCAAAGACTGACAGAGAAAAAACAAAAGAGATAGATGAAAATATTGGACCAAAAAAGAAAACCGGCTATGAATGTGCTTGGGGAAAAAATCTTTTTGTTTGCAATATCACCAGTTTCATTTGATAATAAAATCCACTTTAGAAGAGGCTCAGCATGATTTTAAACACCCAACACTTAAAAGCTAACTGAGCTCGGAGATGTGTCAGGATATCCCTTCCCTACAAAATCCATTGTGGCAGTCATGACTGTATGAGAAAAGAGCACTAAAGCAAGTCTTACACTAGTACATCCTCCACTAGGGTATGAAGGGAGCTGGGATTGCGGATCAATTTGTCTAGAAAGCTGACGATGTCTGTAAACTTCGGCCGGTGGTTTCTCTCTTTTTGCCAGCAGTGAAGCATAAGTTGGTGGAGAGAAGCTGGGCAGCCCATGGGAGCTGGAAGCCTGTAACCTTCTTCTATAGACAGTATAACCTAAACAAAGATAACAGGCATTATTACAGACCATCATATTAAAACACATAAGGACAATATCAAACTAGGAATGCAGACCCAGGATAAATCAAAACTAAGACACACTCATAGTCTAGCAATGTATGCACTTTGGAAGTGCTACATGCCGATTGGATGTAGGCAAGGATTTTGTCATGTGTTCTTTACACTATACTTCATCTCAGACAGAGCCAGCAAAGAACTATTCACAAGAGTGTGTCCCATGCTTCTTGGTGTGAGTCAATTTGTGGGACAGTAAGCAAACAGGACGGGTTTGGTAGGATCACTAGCCATGCCCTTCAAGTAGCCTTAAAGGAAAGAAGAAAGAGAAACAACTTTCTAGTAAGCATCTGTGGAGAAGGAGGAGAGGAGAGAAATAAGAAACATAATTTTCCTCTTCAGCAACCTAGCAGCAGATTTTTTGTTGAATGAAGTCAGGGAGCCAACAAAATAATCTCATATTGATCATCACATACTGATGTGCTCTGATATTTGCATTGTGACACTGCATTAATGCATGCCAATGTCATGCTTTAATGAGACTATCACAGTGCAATGTCTGAGCCTCTGTCTGTAACTTGATCTGATGATAAAGTGGTTCTCCTGCTTGTAGGGTTGCTTGCTTTCTAATCACACAAAACCAAATACCCTTGCTCTGCCCGATCTCTCAGGCCCAGACTCTGTCCTGCCCTTTTTCTGAGGCCCTGCCATTCCACTCACTCCATTCCCACCCCCATCATTCACTCTCTTCCACCTGCATTCACATGCTAATAGTTATCGGGGGGAGGCAAGGAGGTGGGATGTGGGAGGGTCGGGGGCTCCAGCTGGGGGTGCAGACTCTGGGGTGGGTCTAGGAATGAGGAGTTTGGGCTGCAGGAGCAGGCTTAGGGTTGCCAGGTGTTTGATATTGACCTGGACAGTCCGGGATTTTCGCCTCCTGTTTGGTAAATGTCCAGTATTTTCTGTTTTTTTCCCCTGCCAGGAGGCAAAAATACCGGACACCTGGCAACCCTATGACACACTCAGCAACTGGGTCCAGCAGGGAAGCTCCCTTCTGGCTTGACCAAGAAAACAAGATGGCCACCAGCAAAAAAGCCTAAAGACCTGAGCAAGGGGAAGCAATGCCTTCCCTGGGGGGTCTTAGGGCTCAACATCTCCTCTTCCTATTCCTATTCTGACTCTGCATGTGTAACCACCACCAAGGTGGATTTGAACCTGGGACCTGGGGAGCTGACTAGAGGGAGCCTCTATCCTCTGAGGTAAAAAACAGCTGGTGCCCAGCCCATGCTGTAGAGGTCTCTTGATCTAAACTGTTGCAGTGATCTAGGTGCCATTTTCAGTACTCAGTAACTTCACCAGGGCTATGTCTAGACTGCAAGCCTCTTTCGAAAGAGGCTCTTTCGAAAGAGAGCGTCTAGACTGCACGCGGAACTTTTGAAAAAGCAAGCCGCTTTTTTGAAAGAAAGCACCCAGTGAGTCTGGATGCTCAAGAACGCCTTCTTTCGAAAGAAGGCGTTCTTCCTCGTGAAATGAGGTTTACCACCGTTGAAAGAAAAGCCGCATTCTTTCGATTTAATTTTGAAAGAACGCGGCTGCAGTCTAGATGCAGGTGAAGTTTTTTCGAAAAAAGGCTACTTTTTTCGAAAAAACCCCTGAGTATGGACACAGCCCAGGTGTGGTGGGTTACACATGCACCTAAAGGGGCCATGCTGTTTTCATGCTGTTTTATTTTATTTATTTTTTATTTTGCTTAATAACTCTTGGGGTCCTTTTTTTTTTTTTGCTCAACAACTGTGGTTTCTCACCTTTTTTTCCCCTCAACAGAATTTTTTCCCCATTTTTTTTGTGGGGGGAGGGCGTTCGGTATTTTTGGTTAAACCATCTGGCAACCCTAAGCGGGCTCCAGTCTGTGGGGTGGAGCCAAGGGGTACAGAGTGTGAGAGGGCTCAGGATGAGGCAGGAGGTTGGGGTACAGGAGGAGGTAGGGGCTCTGAGCTGGGGATGCGGGTTCAGGAGTGAGGCCAGAAATGAGGAACTCAATGTGTGAGGGGATGTGAGGGTACAGGCTCTGGGAGGAAGTCTGGGTGCTGAAGGGGCTCAGGCCTTGTGCAAGGATGTGAGAAGAGCTGTGGAAAAAGCCTAAAGACCTGAGCAAGGGGAAGCAATGCCTTCCCTGGGGGGTCTTAGGGCTCAACATCTCCTCTTCCTATTCCTATTCTGACTCTGCATGTGTAACCACCACCAAGGTGGATTTGAACCTGGGACCTGGGGAGCTGACTAGAGGGAGACTAGAGATGCCCCGGAAGCAGTGACATCCCTTGGCTGCTTAGGTGTAGGGGTGGGCAGGTAGTGCTACTCAGTGCATGCTGTCTCTTCATGCATGTAGGCACCACTCCCACAGTCTCATTGGATGCAGTGCCAATGGGAGCTGCAGAGATGGCACATGGAGAGGGGAGGCAGTACACGGAGCCCCCTGGATGCCTCTTTGGCTTGGATCTTCAGGGACATGTCACCATTTCCGAAAGTCACATGGAGTCAGGTAGGGAGCATGGCAGCCCCACCAACTGGACTTTTATGGCACCACCAGGTTCCCTTTTCAATCAAACATTCCAGTCAAAAGAGGACACCTGGCAACCCCACTCTTCAGGACTGAGTATGACCGATCCATACAACGACAGCCATTTTGCAAGGCAGCACAATATACCTTTGTTTTGCACAGCACCTTTCCTAAAAACTGCATTCTAAAATACTTTGTGGGTTCCGTTATGTATTTATTTATAGGAAATATATGCATGTATGTATTTATATATATAAAATTACAGTGTTAGATAAAAGCACCAGGAAAATGAAACTGCAAGAATTGGCAGAGTGGAAGGAAATGCTTTCAACTGAGATTTGAAAAGAAATGGACAGATCTGATACAGAAAAGCTGTTTCATTTAGGGGAAGCTGCAGAGGAGGTGGCTTTGTTTAGTAACTCTGGTGAGATGGCTGAAAGTGACACACGAGAGGAGAGAGGAGGAATGAAAGCAGAAACAGAAACTCTGTTAGAGGTCAGCAAGAGTGAGTTCATGAAAGGTTAAAAAACTAAGACTGGAATGTTTATTAGTTCCTGAAGTAAAAATGAAGCCCGTGGAGCAGCTGAAAGACAAGAATGATGTAGTGATGTGTACATAGAGAAAAAGCAGTAGCTGTTCTGAGGCAACAACCAACAACAAAAAACCCATTTACAATGTCCACTGAAAAGTAAATCACAGTATTTACAACAATACATTGGTCTTTGTGAGAAATATATCTGTTGAAAGTCTGCATTAAAGTGACATTTTATACATTTTAGTTTAATTATACATACACATATGCATTGCCCATATAATCCATACATCAGGCAGAGTGCATGTTATGTTATCTACAATAAAACAGTGCTTTTATAGCACTATCTGTAGCTTCTGTATTTTCAATCTTATTAGCATGGAAGTCTAACTTGCTTGCTTTCTGAATTAGCATTGTTGTCTCTGCTTAACAATGCCTGATGTTTATGCTGCACGCATTATGCTAATGACAGCAATGAAGCTACATTAAAACCTGTATCTCTTTATCTTGTGGTGCAGAGGAGAGAAAGAGCAAGGTAAGTGCACTCAACTGAGCCCTCACTGTTAGAAAGGAGAGCTGAGCAACAGAGCATTGCACAGGCAGAGACTGCTTGTGTGCAAACATCATGTGCTCAGAGCCCTCTGGGGAACTGGGATTGTGGTGGGGTAAGTTTTGAACCACTCAGCAGTAGTGCTAGTTGGTAGGCTTTACTCACAAGTTAGCATAATTTGCCGCAGAGATCTTCCAATTTGTAGTTTCTTCTACTTCATACATGCTTATGTGTCACATGCACTGATCAGAGACTAAGCGGGAAGCTGACTGTGATGCCTGAGAACTAGGACAGTGGTTTTCAAGCTCTTCTTCTCATGACCCAGTTGAAGAAAATTGTTGATGCCTGCGATCCAAAATAATTTGACTAGTGTGGGCTTCAAGGTGGGGCTGAGGATGAGAGCTTTGGAGTTAGGACAGGGCTCTGGCTTTCGGGGCATGTCAGTGCTGGGGCAGGAGGGGCTTACCTTGAGCAGCGGGGGTGCTAAGGCAGGCTTCTTGTCTCTCCTGGCATCGCTGACCATGCTGTGCCCCAGAAGCAGCCAGTAGCAGGTTCACAGCCAGTAGCATTGCGGAGCTACTGCTCAGGGCAGGGGCAGTGAATGAAGCTGTGTGCGCTCTCTTTCTCCCCTCCCCCAGAGCCAGGCCTGTTTCTGGCTGCTTCTGTGGCCTAGTGCAGTCTGCAGTGTCAGTGTAGGCAGGTAGCCTGCCTTAGCACATCTACTGGTCACCTGATCTCCCTGCAGCAAGGAGACCCAGTGCCTGACATTCTATGATCCCAGTAGTGGGTCGTGACCCATAGTTTCAAGACCACTGAATGAGGAGAATGTTTCAGAGTGACAAACATGTTGCAACTGTCCCAGAAATTGCAGATGTCAGGCCTTCAATTTCTTGCCGATCATCAGGTTCCATGTGATTAGGAGTCCGGGCCCCCCTCATTCATGCTGTTACCCTTCCTCTTTTCTGGACAAACACTAGATCATTTCCAGGAGGTAGTCCACATGGAAATCTTGAAATTTCCCCCTCCTGTGCTTATT